GAATCAGACACTGTGGGACCGAAGACTGAAGAGTCAGAAGCCCCATCACTCTGCCCTCTGAGGGGTGGGGGTGGGGGGTGGGGGGAAGATTGTTCCTGACTCCTCAGAATACCACCAGCTCCCAAACCTCAAACCCTGGCCCTCTAAATTTCAATCACCAAATGTCACCAAGGCAGCGATCCTAGTCTCTTCACCTCTCAGTGGAAATTGCTGCCTTGTGATGACCTCATGAGGATGGATTGTTAGTGGCCATCAAGGTGGCTCCGACTCATGGTGTCGATACGTACAGGCGAACAAAACACTGCCCAGTCTTGCACTGTCTTCATAATCATGTGATTGTGTTGGTCACTGTGTCCTTTGTGTACCTTCTAACCTAGGGGGCTCGTCATCCAGCACTATATCAGTCAATTCTGTTGTGATGTTGTTAAGTCAGTTCTGACTCACACAGACCCTGTATACGGTTTTAAGGAGAGGCAGGTGGGTTTAAACCAACAACCTTGTGGTTAGCAGTCCAGTGCTTATTCTACAGCACCACACCAGGACTCCAGGGTTTATTCTTTGGTTGATTTCAGAAATAGGAGGGGGTTTCAAATTCTTTGTGGAAAAATGGAATGAAAATTTTCCTCAAACTTTTTGAAGCCCCACTGAAACCTGTCTACTGTGGCGAGCCAACTGGTATTTGAAATGTTGGTAGCATAGCTTCCAGTGCCACAACACCATGCAAGTCTGACAAACTGACAGACGGGTGGTGGATGAAGAGGATATGAGAGTGGTAATGTGTGCAAAGTGCCCACCAAGTTAGGTCTGACCACTGTCAGTTCCCCCCACCAGCTCACATCAGCATTGCTGGGGTTTGTGGAAACTCCTGCTCCTACCCAGGGATTAAGTCCACAGTGCATGTGAGCCCAGAAGTCCAGACGAGCCTCAGGGTGACGCAGGGAGGCCACAGAAGTTGGCATGAGATAAATACGTTCTCTCTTTTTGCCTCAAAGCAGGGATTCCATTCCATTTTCAAGATTGCCTTTAGCAGTCTTATGGGTCCCTCTCAGAACGTTGCTTTTTAAATGCACAAAACAAAATGCAAAGAATGACAAACGAAATCGCTTACTTTGAAATACATTTATCAAAATATGAAAAAAATGCAATTGAAAATACATGCACGTCTTTATTAATACATTTGTTGTTGCGGTTGTTGTTAGGTACCCTACATACAACAGGAAGAAAAGCTACTCCCAGGCCAGTACCATCCTCACAATCATTGTTATGTTTGAACCTACTGTTATTAATCATCTCGTTGAGGGGCTTCCTTGTTTTCACTGACCTTCTACTTTACCAAGCATAATGTCCTCCTCCCGGGGCTGGTCCCTCGTGACAATATGTTTAATGTATACAAGACAAAGTCTCGCCACCCTTGCTCCTTAGGAGGCTTCTGGCTGTACTTCTTTCAAGATAAATTTGTTCATTCTCTGGCAGCTCATGGTATAGTCAGTATTCTTCCTATCGCCATAACTCAAAGGCATCAATTCTTCTAAGTCTTCCTTATTCATTGTCCAGCTCTCACATGTGCATGAGGCCACTGAAAATGCCATGGCTTGGATGTGGCACACGTTGACCCTCAAAGTGACATTGTTGCTCTTTAACACTTTAAACAGGTCTCTTTCAGCAGATTTGCTCAATGTAATACATCATTTGATCTCTTAACTGCTACTTTCATGAGCGTTGATTGTGGATTCAAGTAAAATAAAATCCCCGATAACTTCAATCTTTTCTGTTTATCATCATGTTTCTTATTGGGGCAGTTCGTAGGATTTCTGTTTTCTTTATGTTTAAGGGTAATAATACTGAAGGTTGTCAGTATTATTGGATCTTCATCAGTAAGTACGTCAAGTCCACTGCACTTTCAGCAAGCGAGGGTGTGTCACAGATTGTTAATGAGTCCTCCTCTGACCCTAATGCTGTATTCTTCATATAGTCCACTTTGTTGAACAATTTGCATAGTATACTAATTGAATGAGCATGGTGAAAGGATACAAGTCTGACACACACCTTTTCTGATTTTGAAACATTCAGTATCCTCTTGCTCTGTTTGCACAACTGCCTCTTGGTCTGTGTAGAGGTTCTACATGAGCACAATGAAATATTCTGGAATTCTCCTTCACAATGCTATCCATAATTTGTTATGATCCACACAGTTGAATGTCTTTACATAGTCAATAAAACTCAGATAAACATCTTTCTGGTATTTTCTGCTTTCAGTCAAGATCCATCAGATATCAGGAATAATATTAATGCATTAAATAATAAAATCAAGCAGTGATACAACAGTCATAATTTCAAAATGTTGATGGCTGTAAACAATATTTTGGTGTATATAATTGGAGTCCTGATGTGGCGCTGTAGGATAAGCATTGGACTACTAACCACAAGGTCGGCAGTTCAAATCCACCAGCTACTCCTTGAAGTCCATACAGACTCAATATGAATTGGAACCAGCTCAACAGCTTAACAACAGCAAACAGTATCTCAATAGTATTGTAAACAATATTTATATCTCAGTATTAGTTGTAAACAATAGTTTGAGATACCTGCAGCATCTGATTTCTAAAAAAAAAAAAAAAATGTTGCTGCCAAGTCAGTTTTGACTTATAGAGACTCATGTGTGTCAGTCAGAGCAGGATTGTGCTCCGTAGAATCTTCCATGGCTAATTTTTCAAAAGTAGATCACCAGGCTTTTTTTCTAAGGTACCTTTTGGTTACCAGCCAAGCACTTAGTCAGTTGCGTCACTCAGGGACTTCCAAGACTGGAGGACATCCCCTCAATATGAGATGGGTGGGGCCATGAGTGGTTAAGTGTGGAGACTGAGGCTAGTTAGCAAAAGGGATTGAGTTTAGCGTAAAGGTAAAAAGTTGGGACTCAGAAGCCAGATGACATGACTTCTCTACTTATTATTTATATGACACTAAGATAATTACTTAATTTATTTGTACATTTGTCTCTTGATCTGTGAAATGGGTACAATTACTTCACAGAGCAACGAAATGAAAAGAAGGCAAGAAACAGTAAGAGCACCATACCTTCAGGGAGTCATCCCTAGGGGCACTTCTGCTCTGGTTATTGTAGAACATTCTTCTTGGATCAGCAGAGTGACAGCCACTCCTGCCCGCCTCGTTGATTCAGGGCAGGGTTTTGGAAGCCAGGGTCCAGAGGGGCTGGGTTGTCCTTAGATCAAGAGAAGGACTGGGGGCGATGAGTAACAGGAGGTCAATCATTGGAGATGAGGAAGCAGGTGAGGAGAAACACCAGCATCAGCAGAAACAGCCTCCTGCTGGGGAAAGAAGAGGGTGTGTCTCTGGCCGAGGGTCAAGGTGGCCTCACCACTGGGATTAATGAGTTCAAGTCCAGGCTGGGGAGAAGTGATGGATGCTTAGAAGAAAACAAACAAGTCTGGCACCAGACAGACATGACTGTGTGCAAGGGACGGTGCAGGCGAGCAGTGTAACACACAACACCAGGTGCATCATGTACCCAGACTACAAGGAGAAAGCTCCAGGGTTGCCCTTGGAGTGTGTGATACAGCCGCATCACCTCGCTTCCTATCCTGGTCCTGCCACTCCCTGAGCAAGCTGCTTACTCTTTCTGAGCTCATCTATAAGAGGACCACCACACCCACCTTAATGGCTGTTATGAGAGTTCTATATGGGAACACATCAAGCTCTTAAAAGTTGCTCAATAAGCAGCAACTTACTTCCCCTTGTTTATCCCCTATATGCCTCAGAGAACCCTTTCCACAAATCAGAATACTAAGGGTAGGGAGGGTAAGTCCAGCCAACACCAGCTGGGGAGACATTAAGGGACAGGGCAATTGTAGCAGAGAAAGGGAGGCGAGAACCCCCTCTGTCCATCCCCTCTCCAGTCCTATTATCCAGCTAATCCCAGCACTTGAACCCGATCTTAGGTAAAGAATGGACCAGTACATGGGCTCTGGAGAGCTTTGGATGTGGTATCCCATCTCTTGGAACCCTCTTTCTGGCTAATGGCTTCCCAACCTTTCCAGCCTAGCCCTATAGAGCAAGATGGGTGGGATCCTGGCACCTGGGACTGACTGTCTGGATCTCCATTCCTACCAGAAGTCCCCTCCTAGGCCTGAATCAGGCCTCTCTGAGCATAGGAGCTTCATGTAGGAAAGGGGGTCTTGGGCACCTAAAGACTCATCCTTGCTCAGTGCAGGGATAGGGGAAGCTTGCACTTATTTTATAAATGTGAATTTATAAATTTAGAGTTGTACAATGCAGCATCCATGCTAGGATTGTTAGGAAGGAGACACTCCACTGTTCCCGCTCCCAAACTCTCCATTTTCCTTCAGAAAATATCTGCTTGGAATCTACTGGGTCTGAACTCCAAGGATCCAGCGATCACAAAACTGAGTCACAGAGATAAAGCTCACCTTCTAGCAGGGTGAATGGACACAGAGTGAATTAAATAGTCATACAAACACCAATATTACAGGTTGTGATTAGGAGCCAGGAAAAGCCAAGCAGGGGTCCATAGTGCCCGGGGTCCAGTCCATGCTTTGGCAGCCCCCATCCCATCTCGGGCCAAATGGTGCCTGATACTCAACTCCAGACCCTTCAACATGGCTGGATTCTAATGTCTAGGTGCCTAAAGGTCAAAGACAAGGTGGTGAGAGCCTTGTTTTGTTTTGTTTTATTCTGGGAAATTTATAGGTAACAAATACTTGTCATTTCAACAGTCTTCACATGTACAATTCGGTGAATAACTATGATCATCATGTTCAGACCTCACCACTCTTGAATTTGTCCATCTCCCTTAAGAGGATGTGCTTTATCGTTTATCTCCATTTTGATATGGGACCTTGGTCTTGGCATTCAATGACTGTGGGCTTCATAGACCCTCTGGAGGACAGGAGGTGACAGTGATGCTGAGTTGCAGGCCTGTCTCCTCCAACAGCTCTGTCTGTCTCCCCACTTCCCACCCACAGGAAGCCTACTGCGCCTATGCCATTATCATCATGGCTCTGTTCTGGTGCATGGAGGCTCTGCCTCTGGCTGTCACTGCCCTCTTCCCCATCGTCCTGTTCCCCATGATGGGCATCATGGATGCTTCTGAGGTGAGCCTCCCCCATCTTCTCCCCTAGGATCCTGATTAAGGGAAGCCTCATCATAGGTGTGGCGTCCTGGTGTGGTACTATAGGATAAAGCACTGGACCGCAAGGTACGTCTGAACCACAGGGTCAGCAATTCAAACTCCTCGGAAACCCTATACAGAGTGGCTATGAGTTGGAACTGACTTGGTGGCACTTAACAACAACAACATGATAGATAGGTGGGCACATGGAAGAGGGGCCCCTGTCTCTGCTTGGAAGATCAGAGGGCACTGAAGGAGGAGTGAGCTGGAAGACAGGGGAGGAGGGCATTCTAGAAACGCAGAGTGCATGGCTACTTGGAAAGGTAATTCAAGGTGGGTGTAATTAGGTTTAGTCCAGGGAGGTGGAAAATCCTGGTGACTGAGGAAAAGACCTTGAAAGGCAACTAAAGACATAGTACTCTCCTAGTTCAGCGGTTCTTCAACTTCAGTTTGCATCACAATCACCCTAGAGGTTCTGATTCATTAGGTCTGATGTTAAGTGCTATCAAGTAGGTTCCGACTCATAGCAACCCTGTATAGGACCTTGCAGTTAGCAATCCAGTGCTTATCGTACAGTGCCACACCAAGGGTGGAACATTGTCATTTCTTAACAAGTTTCAGCTAAATGATGCTGAGGACATGCATCCAGGAACCATACTTTGAGAACTGCAGTTCTAATTCATAGAAACAGAATTAAATTATCTAGTTCCTAGTTCATGACTTGAAACACGAGTAGAATCCGTCTACATGTGCCCCAATCATTCCTGAGGGGAGGAAGGGAGTATGGCTTGAGGAGAGGACATTGGCTAATATCAAATGGCAGATAATCTAATGTCTACTTGTGCATCTATATATATCGGTATCCAGGAGACCAGGATCGTGGTAGGAGATGCCAGTCAGGGTCTTCCTGCCTCTTAGCTCTGTCCTCGCCCCCATGTGCCTGTCTACCAGGTCTGCATCGAATACCTGAAAGACACCAACATCCTGTTCATCGGGGGACTGCTGGTGGCCATCGCCGTGGAGCACTGGAATCTGCACAAACGCATTGCCCTCCGTGTGCTCCTCATCATCGGGGTGCGGCCTGCCCTGTGAGTGTCCACACTCAAGGGCAGGAGATCTGGGGCGGGACAGTATCCTGGAGGGACGCTGGAATACCAGTGTGTCCATCTGTCCATTCCTAGGCTGATCCTGGGCTTCATGATAGTCACAGCCTTCCTGTCCATGTGGATCAGCAACACAGCCACCACAGCCATGATGGTGCCCATTGCTCATGCTGTCCTGGAGCAGCTACACAGCAAGGACATTGAAGAGGGCAGCGACAACCCCACCTTCGAGCTCCAGGAACCAAATCCTCAGAAGGAGGAAACAAAGCTTGGTGAGAAAGATGAGGCTGGACCCTGTGTCCCACCCCACCCTCCAGCCCCTTGGCTCTGGGGAGTTTCTGAGATAATAGCCATTTCTAGGGTTAGTCAGCTTAGAGGCTTGGGTGAAAAGAAAGAGGGAGGCAAGAAATAGAGTGACCCATTCTTCCCGGTTTTTTTAGGACTTTCTCTATTTTAAAAGTCCTATATCCTAGGAATCTCCTTAGTCCAGGGCAAACCATGATGGCTGGTCCCCTTAGCAAAAAGAGATCTGGAGTCCAGGTAAACAGCCAAGGGTCTAGTCTCCATTTTCTCGCAAGGCTTGGACTGTCCTCTCCTCTCTCCAACCTTTTCAAAATGGAGGTTGGGCCAGATGGAGCCTAAGGGTCCTCTCAGCCTGAGACTCAGGGTCATGTTGGGCCCATGAAACCTAGGGTCAGCCTTAGTCCTCCTCACATACCAGGTCTCAGTCCACTCTCTGATAAGATGTCCCAGGAGGCCATGGAACTCCAGCCATGCTCCTCAAAGCTGGCCCTATGTCTGCCCCCTGTCTGAGCTCTCCCTTGCTCCCAGATAATGGGCAAGTCCTCCCGACCCTGCCTGCTCCTTCTGAGCCACAGGCACATCAGAACCAGGAGCAGATCCGCTTCACCCAGGGCATGAGCTTGTGTGTATGCTACTCGGCCAGCATCGGGGGCATAGCCACGTTGACCGGCACCACACCCAACCTGGTGCTGCAAGGCCAGATCAACTCGTAAGTGTTGGGAGAAGGGATACCAGGGAGACATCTGCACACCCACAGATGGGATTGGGTGGTTGCCTGGATAATGTTACACAGCAGTCTGTTTCCCAATTCAGGCTTTTCTCTGACAATGGCAACGTGGTGAACTTTGCCTCCTGGTTTGGCTTTGCATTCCCTGCCATGATCATCCTGCTGCTACTGGCCTGGCTATGGCTGCAGATACTCTTCCTGGGATTTAAGTAAGTGGTGAAATGGGTAAAAGATGCCCTAGTTCCTGCCCTTACCCTCTGGGAGCTTCCAGAAAATTATGGACAGTGATATAATCAGTGCCCCTGTGAGATGATTTATTGCTCTCAAGGCATTTTAACCCTCACTTTGGTCACCAGTAACACAAGGCATTACCTAGTAAAGAATATCGTCCATCCCATTTAACAGATGAGCAAACTGAGGCTTGAGGAGTGAGAAAGAAATTTACCTCTGGTACATAACTAGATCTGACAGGGCTAGGATTAAAAACATGTCTCCTGATGCCCAAACTACACCTCTTAATGAGCACACACTTAATATGTTCCGTTACAAACATGTTTACTTAACACCTACTATATGCTTGGACTCTTGGTGTGGCACTGTAAGATAAGCAGTGGACTACAAACCACAAGACTGGTAATTCAAACCCAGCTACTCCTCGGAAACCCTACACAGGGTCATTATGAGTCAGAACCGACTCGATGGCACTTAGCAATAACAACAACTGTATGCATAGCCCTTGTCTTGAGCACTGAGAATGATAAGGGGCAAGAGGTACAGTTCCTGTCCTTGGAGGTCACCATATGAGAGGTGATGCTATAGGCTGGTGCCATGGCAGAGGGAAGAGGCCTAATTCAGCCCAGGGTAACAAGGTTCCCGAAGGAGGAGATGATACAGGACTAGACGTCAACCTGGTGGATAATGGAGTAAAGGCATTCCAGTCAGCAGGAACAGCTTGTGCAAAGGCACAGAGGCAAGAAAAAACATGTGTTTCAGGGAACTCTAGTTCTGTGTGGTTGAAACATAAAGTGCAAAAGGGCTATTAGAAGATGTAGCTAGAAAAATAGGCAGGAAGAGATTATGAAGAATTTTATGGGCTACATAGTCTGGACCTTGTTCTTGAGGCCACAAATAGCAAATAGATTTTATTTCTGCTTCTCAAACTGAGTAACTAGTAGTAGCTATTTGGAACTCTGAGTTGAGAACCATTGTGAGGCCCTTTTGGACTCAGCTGGAACCAAGTGCAGTAATTGATTAGTGATGTCTGCCATGAGTACAAGATAGGAGAACTGTGGTATACATGCTATCATATGATATAACAGTGCTTTCTGCCTTGTAATAGTCCCCAACTTCAATTCAATCTCTGCCTGAATTGAATACCTACCAAAGTGGTTCCAAAGTACAAACACCATGCTTAAAATTGTTCAACGGCTCCTCATTACCTGTGCAGAAAGGACAAATATCATAGCATGCATACCACCATTCTCCTATCTTGTACTTATGGCAGACATCACTAATCAATCACTACACTTGGTTCCAGCGGAGCCCAGAAGGGATTCAAAGACAAATGGAGCATGGTCTTTGCCCTTGAGGAATTCACAGTCCAGCAAGGGAATTGAGATTTACCCAAGTGAAAAGTTAAATGCCAACACAAGTTAAGTAAGTGGGCCACAGTCCCCTGTGTCTTTGAGGACAATGTGGGTGGGGCTCAGACTGGGCAAGGGATACCTAGAAGTAAGTGAAAGAAGGAAGAATTTCCTGAAAGGCAGTTGGAGAAGGGGATCTGTGATTCAGAGCCAGGAGGAAACATAGGACCTGGGCTACTAGTCCCTCCTTATCTTGGGCAAGACAGCTCAGCAAAAGAGAATCTTTGGAGGGTATGGGAGTCCATGGGACAGATGGACCAGGGCCAAGCAGAGGGAAACCAATTTCCCCTGTCCCAGTCCTGCCCTTGTTGAACAAGAGCCATGGTCCTCTGGCAGTGTTCTACTCTTTCAGAACTTTGGGTGGCTCTGAAGCCTACTTTAGTAACCCACAGTGTCCCGCATAGGCTTGTGTCTTCACATAATGGGCACTAGAACCTCTTGCTCCCCTGCCAGGTGCAACACCCTCATGTCCCTTCCCTTCTGCCTACAGCTTCCGGAAGAACTTTGGCATTGGGGGAGAGGCACGGGAGCAAGAACAGGCAGCCTTCCGTGTCATCCAGACAGAACACAAACTGCTGGGTCCCATGACTTTTGCAGAAAAAGCTGTTACTTTCCTCTTTATCACCCTGGTGCTGCTCTGGTTCACTCGGGAACCAGGCTTTTTCCTTGGCTGGGGCAACCTGGCATTTCCCAACAAAGATGGGGAAAGGTGAGAGTTGCTAGGCAGAGAGGGGTGGGGTGGACACCTCTGAAGTTCAAAAATTGGGGTGGGGAGGGAGCAGGGTCCTCAGCGCAGAACATAACACTTTGAAGGTGGGAACTGCCCAGGAGAGGTTGGTATATCTGTGACCCTGAGTTACCCTGAGCCGCTCAGTCTGCCCTCCCTGTCCCACCTGCAGCATGTTGTCTGATGGCACAGTGGCCATCTTCATCAGCATAATTATGTTCATCGTGCCCTCCAAGATCCCAGGGCTGACCCAGGACCCAGGTAAGCACCTGAACTGGGGCAGGATAGAGCATCTGGTCATCTGGGCAAAACTTGCCTTCAGGCATATCATGAACTTTCAACTGCACTTGGAGAAGGGAGACTGGGGTGACTTTCCAGGTCACAGGGATTCAGGAACAAAGTCAGAAAGTTGCAGAACCGAGGAGTCCCTCCTGAGTGCATTAGGAAGTCCCAAGGTGAGGGGAGGAAAGATTAGTTCTCTCTCTTGGTGACCCTTCCTTTTCCATTTGGGGAGTAGAAAATCCCAGGAAGCTGAAGGCCCCTCCTGCTCTCCTCAACTGGAAGACAGTGAATGAGAAGATGCCTTGGAATATCGTGTTCTTGCTGGGAGGTGGCTTTGCCCTAGCCAAAGGGAGTGAGGTGAGAAATCCCCAACCCCTCTCCAGCCTATTTGAAGGAGACCCTGTGGCAGAGACAGACCTGCTCTCCTATCCCAGAGAGGAGACCGGATCCCTTTTAGGAACTGCCTTAGTGGATAGAAACTTAGATTAGAGCCAGTCTGAGAACCTGTCCCCACTGAGGTTGCCAAAGCCAAAGGAAAGGCAAGTTTTCTACTGGGTGAAACTTGGTTTCACTTCTTATCATCCCTCCCCAGGCCGTTCCCTCCAATTTCCCCCCACCCCACTCCACCCCACTCCACCCCACCCCCTGAGGCAAGACAGAATACAACTCTTAGCTACCAAGTTGCTGACGTTGGATGGGCACAGTCTGCCTGTTGCAACCACCAGGGGGCGCCATGATCTCACCAAGCCAAGCTCCGGGAATCAGTACTGTGCGTCTTTTCCCAGAGCGTCCTTCCAAAGGTGATGTCTCAGAAGCTGCACCCCAGTACCTCAGTGTCCAGGCTAAACTCATTCACTCACAGATAGAAGGAGGCTTCCCTGAGTCGAGAAATGGTGTGGGCGGGAGTGGGGCTCCTGGGTAGGTGACTATTCATTCATTGAGGACCAATTGCGCCAAGCCCTATGCTGGGCGTACAGCGTTGTACAAGAAAAAGTTCTAGTTTCCTGGTTACACACCTGGGCAGGATGAGGTTCAGAAGAGAAACACCTTGAAGGTCTTGAAGCTCTTCGAACCCTGTGAATGCCTCCATCTAGCCTCTACCAGGATTCTCCCCAGAAGCAACGCTCCCTCTGTACCAGTCCTTGGTTTGGAGGGTGCAGGGAAGAGCTAAGGTCGACTGGTCAGGCAGGCAGGAGTAAGTGAGAGATCAAAGGTCCTTATTTCCACCAAGCCCCAGGTTTCCCAAGAAGGCCCTTTGGCTCCCTCTCCTAGCTGATCTTTCCAATCTGATGTTTCTCCCCACACCCAACTGTTCTCCAAAAACAGAAGGGGACCTCTATTTTAGCTGGGCCCTGTCTTGCCCGCAGAGTTGTTCTCGACTCCCCAGGTAGTCCACTCACTCATATACCACCCTCGTCTGCTCACAGCGCTCAGGCCTGTCAGAATGGCTGGGGGACAAACTGACCCCACTGCAGACGGTACCAGCTCCCGCCATCGCCTTCATTCTCTGCCTCCTGGTGGCCACCTTCACTGAGTGCACCAGCAACGTGGCCACCACCACGCTCTTCCTGCCCATCCTGGCCTCCATGGTGAGCTGACCTGCAGACACACTGCCTTCAGGCAGCCCTGAAGCCCATCTCCACCTAGGGGTTCTGGGTACATCCTCCTTTTCTGAGAGAGGATCCCTGAGCTTCCACCCTGCCCTAGACTTGTGAGCTACTTGGGCCCCTGACACACTGGCCCCTGACTCACCCTACCCCTGGTGACGTCACCCCTTGAGCATCCTGATGGTGCTCACTGGTGCCGCACCCACTCCCTGGTCCAGCCTCTGTTCTGGTCATTCTCGGGTTGACAAGGTGAAATTGCTCCCTGGAGCGTCCCTAGCCCCTTCCTCCCCAGGCGCGTTCCCACAGCCTTTGATGACACCCCCGGAGCCCCTTTGAGATCAGTTTTATGGGCCCCTCCCCTCACCACACCCCGCAGGGCAGGGCTGCACACTCATCCCCTCCAGAGAGGTCAGGGGCCCTTCCCAGGTCACACAGTGCCTTCCGGCAAAAATAGTGGGGTCATGACCAGAGTGTATATAGTGGGGGGTATCCTGAAAGGTGAGCAGAGGAATTGGGGGCACACCTCCCTGTCTGGGTTGGGGATGGGATCAGCTCCACGTCTCCCCCTGCAGGCTCGGGCCATCTGCCTCCACCCACTCTATGTCATGCTGCCCTGCACTCTGGCGGCCTCCCTAGCCTTCATGCTGCCCGTGGCCACCCCACCCAATGCCATTGTCTTCTCTTTCGGGGGCCTCAAAGTGTCAGATATGGTGAGTGACAGGGAGGCCTGAAGACCTCAGCACTCCTTCCTGCTCGCTTTTCAGCTTGGTGGACCACAAAACAGCCAGAAACCACTGAGCTTCTCGAAGTTGAGAGTAGGCCTTGGATTGAGGAGATTGGCAGGCTGCTGGGAGCAAGGGAGGTGGGGGACGGGTGACGGGAATAGGTAGATTGGTTTTTTGGATGTGATCCCTCACCCTCAGCTGGGATATCATTTGGACGCTGCCCTGCCCCTGCCATGTGAGAGAGAGAGAGAAGGAGGTGAGGAATATGGGGCCAGAAAGAGGCTCAGAGACAACATAACCTAGGACCGTATAAGCTCACAAAGAGCCTTCCTCTTTTCTGTTAGCCCTGGGAGTCAAGCAAGGGACAGGGGCATTGCCTAGTGATGCAAGTAATACCAAGGGAGAACTTCCCAGGGAGAGTTTTGCTAGTGGGAGGGTCCCAGAGCCCCCCAAAACACCTGAGGAGTAGATTCCAGCTCAGCACCTGCAAAGTCAAACTGACTCTCCTCACATCAGGCCCGGACGGGATTTCTACTCAACGTCATCGGAGTGCTGGTCATCACACTAGCTATCAACAGCTGGGGCTACCCCATCTTCCAGCTGGGCACCTTCCCCTCCTGGGCCCACATTGACAACACCACAGCCCACTGCCAGTCCAACTTTGTCCCCAACTTCACAACCCCTCAGCCCTAGCCCCTAGGCCAGGATACAGCCTGGGCAAACCCTGGAAGACCTACTCCCATTCCCCCTCCTCTGAGCCTGGAGGGGACACCCCAAACTCCAAGTCCTAGGCCAAAGGCTGAAGGGTTTGTACACACATTATCTGATGTGTCTGTAAGGAAGGTGTGTGTGCCCAATCCTGTGTGTCTGAGGAAAATGTGTGTGTGTATATGTATGTATATATATATATATATATATATATATATATATATATATATGTATGTATGTGAGGGTGGGATGTGAGGTGAGCATGTTTGAGGGGGGATTGTGTGTGAGCACATGATTCAAGTTGTGTGTGCACTGATGGTATAGGTGTGCCCAGCTCCTGTGTGTTAGTTCACAGATACGCAGCACACATCTTTGCTGTCCGTGACCTCTACCTTCCCTACTTGTTTGCACTGTATTTATTGAAACTCTGGGTTGGGGTGGGCTGGGGAGGAAGGCCCACTAGTGGTTGCCATGGGAACAACCTCTGGGACTGGCCCAGGGTTCTGAGGTCTTCCCAGTCTCTCATGATTTTGGGAAGAGTTCAGTTATTAGCCACATTAAAGTCTTTTTCAGTAGAGTCTGGGATAGTCTTTTTCACAATGTCCTCCAGGCTGATCCACATGTGATTCGGACCCAGTTGTAGGGCACAGCGCAAGGGGGCTTGGCCTCTGTCCTGAATGCCAGCCCCCTGGCAACCTTCCTGCCAAGGAAGAGGTAATGGTGGGGCACCCCTGCCAAGGCCGCCTGGAGTGGGTGCAGCCACCCAGGGAAGCAGCACTGACATCACCCGGCCGGCTAATTGGGAGCTGCCAGTCCCTGCGTGCCTTTGGGAAAACCAGCCTCCACGTTCCCAGAGCACTCCCTGGGCATTTACATAAAACCCTCTGCCCCTGCCAATTCCTCACTGGACCCTTTCTACAGCTGGAAAAACCAGTCCCACCAGACCAGGGGAGCCAGACTGACCCATGCTGGGTGCTCAGTAAGCTGGACCCCCCCCCCACCTCAAAAAAAAAGGCAGCCTGTAGCAAGAAGGATGCAGGTGAGCTTCACAGAAACAGGCTCAAACTGGCATAGCCTTTAGAGCCCAGGGCCAGATAACACCCTAGATGATTCTGCCTCCCCGCCCCCCAACCCTGCCCCCATGGACTCCAGAGTTTTCATTTATCTGGCAAGGTTTGTGTAGCAGGGGGTGGGGAAAGGCATGACGCCACACCTGTCATCCATTCTGAGAGCTCATCTTCTCTTCCTAGTTGGAAGTACATCTCTGTGTCTAGCTTAAGTCTCCCTCACTGTACACGGTAACATTTAAGGTCATGCTGCTTCCTTCTGAAAGTCTTGAGTTCATCTAGATGGAAGTTTCTAAGAATCTCATACAATTCCTCCCTGCTGTCATGGGAGAAAAGTGATATTTACCATCACCCTTGTGCACAAATGAAAATGGAGGCTGAATGCCATAAAGGGTAAAGGGAAAGTCAGCAAGGACTTAACTCTGGATGCCCCATGGCTGTGCCCTCTCTGGGTCTTTCCAGAGCTGGGATGGGGGGAAGGGAGGAACAAGTGGGAGAGGGAACAAGGCCATCCTCAGGGGACAGGGGATCCTGACAAGACACGCCAGACATCCAGGAAAGCGAGCAGTGTCAGGCAAGTGACTCCACCCCGCCCCAGCCCCCCAGGCTGGCATTCCTCACTGATGAAATATAGTCACAAATCACAACCCCCAACTAGACTCACACCTGGGACCCCTCATCAAAGCCCCAGGCGACAGTCCCCATGGAGTGGGCTGGCCCCAGAATGGCAGGGTGCCTCCAATGGCTCTCCTACAATGCAGTGGGTTCCTAAGGAGCAACGCGAACCCCATCTGTAAGGAGGACCTTCTGTGCCTGCTTTCTCCTTCCGGATCCTACATAGGTACCCACAGTCCAGCCCTCATTAGAGAAAAGGTGGATGAGCTTCACAACGTGCATGCATCCCCACACTCAGCTCCCCTTCTCACCTACCCACTGCCCCCTCTATCTTGCTTAGAGAGACCAGGTGTGGGCTGAGATCACAGAGCAACACCATTGATGAACACTGGGCAGACCTGCCTTCTCAGGGGAGGAAGTGGATGAAAGCCCGCCCAAGGCTAGAGGGGTCAGCTGCGGTGGGTGTCGTGACAGAGCTGGGGGGTGGGGGTAGGCAGGCCTTATCCAGCTGCTTGGAAACCACCCTCCTCAGCAGCCAGCAGGGCGGACAGGCGGCACCTGTCAGCGTAATCACCGTCATTAGCTGGGCAATAAAGCGGCAGGGACTGGGCCAGCCTTTGAAGGAAGGGCCTGGCAGCTCGGGTTATGCTTGTACAGACAGCCTAGCAGAGCTTGGCCCTCCTGCACACACACTCCAGACTGCAGCAGGTGAATGGAGCTTTGCTGGGACTGGGGTCTGCACCTCGCTTGCCTAGGTACATGCACCCATCCACCATGGCTTCCAAGAAGGCAGCCAGAGACTTTGGGAGTCTCCGGCCAGTTGAATTTGTATAGTTCTGGGACTCAAGAACTTAGGAGGTAGTGAACTTGCTGACGAAGATCAATGAGGCTGGAAATAACTTGAAGACAGAGTTGACTTGATGGTTCTGTGTCCCCACTTCCTGGCACAAAGCCTGGCACAGTGAATGTTGTATGGATGAATAAATGAATGAATGCATCAGAAGCACAGGGCTTCTGGCTCCTGCAGAGAAACTGAACACGCTGCCCTCAAAGTCCCTTTCCAAATGACTTACTATGAGGGACTTGGCCAATGTCATTCTAGGCTCAGCAGATCGACCTGGACTTTTGAACCAACTTCTACTATCCTCCTTTGACCTATCCCCTAGGGCCCTGGGAGTTTCCCTGTTTCCTTTCTCCTAGCTCCAGAGGCAGCCACAATATCCAAAGGGCGCAGGGAAGCAACTGCAGAGCCCTACCAGGTGGAAGAGGGGAGCTTGCTGGGGATGCTTCTACCTACGCTCTGGGCCTCAGGTCAAGAACAGCTTTAGGGGTTGGGGTTCTCAGCCCCAGAGTAGTCCCCCTGGCGCCTCAAGTCATGAGGCTGCTTCCTGAATGAGGAGGGATGGTAGTACAGGAGGCAGAGGGCCAGTGTACCCAGGGGTACAAGATAAGGGGTGGGACCGGGATGGGTGAGGTTCCTGGTGGGGTGCCAGCCTGCAGAGGGTGTCTCTGCAGTCTCCACCCCAGTCTGGGCCCCATTAGTCATGGTCAGTGGAGCCATGAGGTTTTACTAGGGGCAGAGAGGCTGAGGACCTCAAAAGGACAAGCCCCCAAGCTCAGGGACCCAGAGGCAGGGGTGGAGGTGGGAGAGGAGAGCAGTCTGATTGGAAAGATTGTGACAAAGCTTCAGAAGCATTACTCTTTTTTTTTTTAATGTTTTATTGTGAATTATGTGATCATTTACATGGGAGAACATTAGTTTTACATTCATCCTACCTTACATTGTTTCATTGCCATGGTTACAATCCCCTCCATGCATCATCAACCAATCAAAGGGTATACCCTACAAGCCTGCACCTCAGTCGTCAGCACACAGTCCCTCTCCCTCTCTGTGTGTAAAGTCCCCAGCTGCTCCATCTCTCCACGTCATCTGTCTCCATCTCAGGCTTCACTGCCAGAAGCATTACTCTTAAGGATGGGGAGATCCACAGTCACATTATGCAAGCCACAGATTCTTGGGTACACACAGAATACCTCAGAGCTATGCACCGGCATAGATACCTGCGTACACACAATTACACACATCCTGATACAGACCTGGTGTGGTGCTGTGGGATAATGCATCAGACTGCAAAGCCGTTTGAACTGCAAGATCAGTGGTTCAAGCTCACCAGCTGCTCCTTAGAAACCCTATACAGGGCCGCTATGGGTCAGAATCAACTCGATAGCACTTAACACAGCAACAACAGACACACACAAGCACACACAAAATCACTTACTCACATTTATAGCCCTGCAGACACACCAAGACATTCTCGGAAAGACAGACATACACAGGTGGACTCCATCATGGACACTGTACACACACAGTTGCTCACGGACACTCACATCAACACGGTGCTTGTGCACAAGGCATCCAAGTGTTCTCTCAAGAATGCAGGTGCTCACACACAATTAGACACCAACACTGGTTTGGGCATGCCCAACATCACATATATAGCTGTGGAGATTTACAGCTCACCTACTGAGGCACATGTGAGCACAGTAATATAAATGTAGGTAGTGCACACTCATATGGGAGAGGTACATGTGTACTTATAGGCTGATGTCAGTGAACACACACACACACTGCATTGCTTCCCTCACCTCCACAACTATTCCTTTTACAGCCAGAGGGATCAAGACTAGACTGAGACACCCTTCTCACCCAGCAGGACTCTTACTATAATCCTACCACCCCACGAGGCCCCCTCCCCCAAGCTCTCAGCTTGGAAACTCCCTGGATTTCCCAGGGGGTCAACCAACCAGAACAGACTTAGACCTCCCAGACCAGCTCCCTTGCCACATATCCTCCCAGCTCTGCCTAGAAGCTCTTCATCATCCATAACTGAGAAACCACCTGTTCTCCCCTAGGAAGCCCATCCTGGCTTCTCCAACCTTTTGATGTGAAGTCATTGGACCTCAGGGTCTCATATCAGCTCTGTTTGGGCTCTGTTACTCTGCAATTGTTCTTAAGTGTCTTCTTTTCAAGAAGTGAGACTTGAAAGGTCTGACAAAGGACAGGTTCCATTTTGGAACTAACTTTGAGGAGACAAACCCAGCCCACATAAGTGGAAGTAGATAGATGTCCAGTCAGGATGCAGGGTGCAGATGGGAGCTGCTTCCTCCTTCACAATGGGGTTGTTGAGGGTAGGGACATGTTCTTCCACCTCCTGGGGTCCTAGGTTCCTGTCCCAGACTGGAGTATAGTAGATATGGGCCCAGGGATTTCCATCCTCAGCCAATGCTGTTTCAGGCTCAAGT